GCCATCAAAAACTACAGTGCCTTTCATTTCCTCATAAAATGACCTGATGATGTTAAGGAGACGAGGTGGACATCCAATCTTGGGAAGTATTTTAAAAAGGCCATCCCTGCTAACCAGATCAAAGGCCTTTGTGAGATCTATGAAGGCCAGGACACTCAACTCCTGGCCCATGTTCCACAGCTGAATGATCCAATACTCTCTGCCAGCTCATGGCCCAAAACAAAGTAGCAGCATCACAGCTATTGATATTAGGGGACATTTACTTCTCTTCCTCAAAATCAAGGCCCCCTTCACCTCCTCTGTGGCCACACCAGCTTCTGTCCCCACTTAGTCACATTGTTCACCAGTAGCTCACACACCATTGGGTCCTTAGCAGTGCCCCCTCACCCATTTGTTCCCAAGTTTGGGTCACCCAGATGTTCTTGGACTACAGAACTCCCAGAAATCCTGGCCAACCAAGCGAGCGGTGAAGGCTATAGCTCACACACCGTTGGGTCCTTAGCCGTGCCCCCTCACCCAATTGTTCCCAAGTTTGTGTCACCCAGATGTTCTTGGACTACAGAACTCCCAGAAATCCTGGCCAACCAAGCGAGCGGTGAAGGCTTCTGGGAGTTCTAGTCCAGGCACATCTGGAGACCTGAGGGTTGGAAACCACGGCCCCCAACTCAACACATCTGGAGACATGAGGGTTGGAAACCACGGCCCCCAACTCAACATCAACCCTTTCTCCAGCTCCCATAAGCCATGTAGGAGGCTCCGAACAATACAAACGTTTCTCGTCTTTGTCTTAAGGATGAATTTCCATTGTGAGAAGGCGAATGAACGGTAATGCTCAAAGAGACTTCAAGGGTCTGGGGAGTCTATGGGGAGTCTATGTTCCAGTCCCCATGGGGCCAAGATGTTCATAATGTAACCTCGTGGCTGTCACCTTCTCTCAGCCTGACCTACCTCAGAGGGTGGTTGTGAGGAACAAGCAAAATGAAGGAGAAGCTGAAAAGGTGGGATGTAAAAAGGCTCCAAGCTTGGAAAAAGTTCCTAGATTTGTTTCTCCGTGACAGACATTTTCATACCACATGACCACCTCCAGGACTTTTGCAGTCGGATGGGAAAGCATGAGTATAGATAATATTTCCTTCCTTCCTTCCATCCCTTGAAACACAGAAAAGTGAAGTTGGAAGGGGGCCTATAAGGCCATCCAGTCCAACCCCCTGCTCAATGCAGGAATATAATCAAAGCATATCTGCCAGGTGATTATCTTAAGTTTTTCTTGAAGGCCTCCAGTGTTGGAGGGCTCACCAACTCCCAAGGTCACTGGTTCCACTGTCGTACTGCTCTGTCAGGACATTTTTCCTGATATCCAACCGAAATCTGGCTTCCTTAAACTTGAGCCCACTGTTGCATGTCCTGCCCTCTGGGAGGATCGAGAACAGATCCTGCCTCTCCTCTGTATGACAGCCTTTCAAATATTTGAAAAATGCTATCCTCTCTCCCCTCAGTCTTCTTTTCTCAAGGCTAAACAGGTCCAGTTCTTCCAGCCTTTTCTCATAAGGCTTGGTTTCCAGCCCCCTGATCATCCTTTGTTGCCCTCCTCTGAACTTGTTGCAATTTGTTAGCAACCCTCCTCTTAGTGTGGTGTCCAGAACTGGACACAATACTCAAGGTAAGGCCTAATCATGATTTCTGGGAGTTGCAGTCCTTCCTTCCTTCCTTCCTTCCGGTTGTGAAGCATTGCTTTAGAAGCTTCCATTTCACTTCAGTCTGCAGTACTACAGTCAAGACCCTGCTCACAGCCTGAATCTAAACCTGGTGTTGTTGAATGCCAGATCTGTATCAAATAAATCCCAGATTATACAAGACTTGATTCTGGAGGAGGATGCAGATCTGGCATGCATAACCGAAACATGGATGGGCAGGGAAGGGGGTGTTCCCCTCCCTCCCTCCTTCCCTTCCTCCCTCCCTTCCTTCGAGAGTGAACATGTTGCTTTCAGACAATGGACTGTATGGTGCAATACGACTCCTATGTTTTAAGGAAGTATCAAAAAGCATGGGAACAAAACGCCTTCACCTTGTGCATCTCAGTCGACGGCACCCAGACCCTCCCTGAGACAAAGAGCAAAACTGTCCAGCGCCACCCGCACAAGCAGAGCACCCCCTCCCCCAAAGGGGCAACCTTTTCATATATATTACACCCCAGGGTTTCAGCCCACGGCAAGGCAAAAGTAACAAAGGAGGCATGGCTCACACCATGATGTCATCCTCGGAAATCCTAGCTTCAGGGAGAACGTTTCCAGGGAATGACATCATTCAAGATGGCAGCCCGTCATCTCAGAGGCAAGGGGCAAAAAGCACCCCAGTCATGAAAGAGCACCCAAGAGGGAGACACCATCGCACGAAATGTACGGTTTGCCTCTCCAGGAATAGAAACTGACCACAGCATCCTGGAGCATCTCGCTGGGCAGTCGAGAAGGTCCATCTGCAAGCCTAGCCGTCTAGCTTACTCACTCCCATCATCATAAGGACTGGGACCTCATCGAACAGAGAAGGCGAATCCTCAGAGGGCCATTCCAGGCAATGCCATTGGCCAGCCTCTGGGGCATACAGAGTGGAGGGGGTGGCCTTGCATTGAAAAAAACACAACAACCCATCCAGTCCTGCTTCTCGGAAGCCTGATTTTCATCGCTTTTGGCCTCCCCAGAAACCTCCATCCTGTCAACCCCTGCATCATCTGAAAGTCATTTCTTCCAGCCATATGGCCCCGACCCTTCCCTCCTTCCCTTTGGCAAATGAATGGTCACAGGGAAGCCCTAAGCACACCCTCCTGCCTCTGCCCCATCTTTGGAAGCTCCTCGCTCACCGACTATCTGTCACCCTCGTTCGCTCTACCCAAGCATGCTTCCCCCCCTCCCTTGGGCACACCGAGTGCCACCCCTTCGGAGCTCCCCCCCCCGATGCACCTTCCAGGCACATCGAGCAGATTCGCCCCAGACAAAGGGACACACCCTGCAGAAGCCACTGATTGCACATTGGTGGCCATTCCTGTGGCTTTCCAATGGAAAAGCTCTTAAAGCCACAGGTACCAGGGCTGTCCACGTCTCAGTCCCTCCCCACCCATTTAATTTCCTTGAAAGACGTTTTTTTCTTCCATTGTTGCAAGAGCAACAGCAACATTTTTTAACAGATGTGGGAGGAGAGGAGAGGATGCTCCAGAACAAATAAATAAACCACAGGTCATGTTGTGGTGTGTTTTCCTGAACACATCCCCAGTTCTGTCCTTGTGGGAGTTTTAAGGCATTGTGCATTATTTCATTCACAACATGCAGGAGGATTTATAGTCGGTGACTCTGCAGGCTGCAGACACTGAGTCACCTTTGTGATTTTACTCGCAAGGTCCCTAACACGCCACTGCACATCTCCTGCAAAATTAAGCTTGGATCGCCCACGTCTCTTTCCTGCAAAGATACAGCTTCACCCTGGCACACCCATCTCAAAACCTTTTCTATGGAGCCCTCAAACACATGCATGCGCGATCACACCCACTCTTACAAAAACCCCGGGCACACCCCCTTCTGTACAAAGCCCGCTACACGGATGTGCCAGGTACCGAGCCGTGCCCAACCGTCTTGCAGACGCGATCCCGGAGGAGAAGGAGAAGCACAGCCTCCTCTATGCTGCCGTTTCTCCCAACTCAACACCCAGATGAATTCCAGCAGATGTCAAATAACAGGCACGCCGAGTCATATTCGCCATCTGAGAATTTGCAGCTGACACATGTAATGAGTAAGAACCACTTCTGCCCATGTATGCTTAACACATAGCCTACATGCCTGTCTCTCCCAGGGCTGGGTGATGTGTACATAAATCATCTGTAGGTAGTCAGACATATGGACTGCAGAGATGCTTCCTTGGAGGCTGACGGAATCAATAACCCCAACCCTGCAGGCAAGGCTTTCTCTAGGCGCCGGCAAAATAATTGCACAGCTCTGAAGCCTCCGTTGCATATATGACCTCACCTCCGATAAGAGGCACTTCATTTTAAATCCGTACACTGGAACAACCTATATATAAACAACCCCCCCTTCTCTGTACAGAACCTCTACAATTACATGTCACTCTGTGTGTGTGTGTGTGTGTGTGTGTGTGTGTGTGTGTGTATAATAGTACACACACAATCCTACTTCACATATAGGCAAAGACACACACACAAACACATCTTGTCCATTCATACACAGTGAGAGTGCTCCTTCACTTTAAAGAGATGCTGGGGGGCTGCATATCTCTCTGATGCTATCAGCTCACTTCTCTCCTTTTCCCCCCTTGTAAAAGCATCATCCTCTACAGGCAGCCCAGCTCGTGTCTCTGGCATTTACAATTAAGAGGCCTGGGGGTGGGGGTGGGGGAGGTGGACAGCTTGGTCTGGAAAAAGACCATCACCCGAGACCACCAAAAAGAAAAAAACCATCACCAGTTGCAGTAAAGAAATATTGATCTAGAAACTAGATAGATCAATAGCTTGGGGAAAAGAAGGTTTATACAATTTTTAAAAAAGCAAAGTGTGCTGCTTATATACCACCCAATAGTGCTTCATTTGCTTTGAAATCTAATTAGGCAGGTTACACCTTGTCTAACCACCCTGGTGAGTAGACAAGGCCATTTATTTTATCAACCTCTGAAGGAGGGATGGCTGAGTGAACCTTGAGCGGGCTGGCTGAGCCTGCTGGGATTGAACTCAGTTGTGAGCGGAGTCTTGACTGCAGGACTGCAGCGATACAGGCTACCTGTCTCCTCTGCCTCAGTGCTCTTTGCTGAGAGTGGGGGGGGAAGGAATCTCTGGTCAAAATAAAGCCTACACTGACATTCACAGGGGGTGTGCTCTTAATGTTCACCCATTTCATCCTGAGCCACGCTCCTCGAACGGCAGCCACAGCCGCACGACTTTCTACGTGGTGCTGTCTAAACCCTCCCAACACCAGCCAGCCATAATTGCACCCTCTGCTAATTACCTTCTTCCAGCTCATCCATGCTCCCGATCTTCCTGCCGCCATCGATGGTGTAAATGTAGCGAACCCCCTGAGGCAAGTTAATGTTATCAGACAGCGACCGGGTCAGGTCGGCCAACAGGGCGTCAAAGCTTCGGAAGCGGTCGCCGGAGACGGCGTAGACAATCCCCTTGAAGTAGCGGTCGCCGTTGCGATAGAAGCGCACCTTCTTGGCTTTCTTCTCATTGCTGAGGGCTTGTAAGGTCCGGGTGCGGTAGAAGCTACAGTGGGCGCTGTGCGTGGGGCTGGGCAGGCCGTTCATCCGGGAGCCTCTCATATTTCTGGACGCCTTGTCTCGTTCGTCAAAGTGTCCAAAATCAAGTTCCATAGCTTGGTGACCCCCTGGAGATGTGAGGCTGAGGTGCGACCAGGGAAAGAAGGGTCAAAAGGAAAAGAGGGTGAGTCAACTCAAGATCTGGAGAGGGTTGCAGATCCTGAAACTCAACCTATGTTTTTTTTAAAAAAGCAGAAAGGAATCCACATATTTGCTTAATGCTTTAATTCCATTGGGTTGAGGCCACAGAGTGGCTTCTCCATACGTTTTCTGGGCAGGGCTCCGGGAGGAAGGATCGCTTAACTAACGTTCAACCCAGAGTGCTCTCCTCAGCCCTACCTTTGGATCAAGGCTGAGTACCTGAAACAGGAATGGGGCAAGGTGTCCGTGGGTGTCATGGTAAGGTTCACCCCCATCTACAAACGCCTTGAGATGAGGGGTCAGAAGTTCCGTGGAGATGGCAAGGAGCCGTAGAGTGAGAAACGTCAGTGGCAGAGCAGATGGGTGGAAGTGGCAAGCCAAGCCTATGCAGTGCCTAAGGAATTAAATCTCCCAGGGACTGAAGGGCCAGCCAGCTCTGCGCCCGCTGAAGGCTTTCAGCCCTTCCCTTCATGGAGGGAGTGACCCGCCTGAGTCACAGACCCGTCTCCACTCGGGCTCTGCAAATTGAAACGGATGGCCGACCAGATAGACAGACCTACCGTTTTCTTTGTGAGCAGCTGTCAAGGTGGGGGGGGGGAAGGCACCCACCCCACATCCTCCCTTCCCTCACAGACACATATTAGCTCTCAGCCCATTGCTGAATCTATCCTACAATTTCCAAGAAAGAGGATCCAGATGTGATGAAGGAAACCTGAGATTCAGACAGCAATGGGCAGTTAAGGCAGAATTTGTATATTTTTTCCCCTATGGTGTTCATGTTTGGTGTTGCTTCCTCAGCAAAAGGGGGTTGGATTTCCCCCCCTCCCTCCTCTTTATGAAGAGCATTTTAATCGCTGAAGGTGCCTTGCGGAAATGTTCACGCCACGCCACCACAAAAGTGCACCTTTCATTGTTCAGAACCGCAAGCCCCTTCTTCTAGGGGGGAGATGAAGACCAACCCTTGGCGAGAGAAACCGAGGAGGGACAGAAATCAGCTTGGGCATGAGCCAAAGAGCCCCAAGAGACCAGCTCCTCTGGCAACTTAAAACTCTGAACTAAAGAGAGGAAGAGAGAGAGAGAGAGCTCTGGCTAGTTCTGCGAAACCTTATCCTGCCGTCGCTTGGCTGCGCAGGACGATTAGCATGCAAGGCACATCTGCTCATCGCAGATTCACACCACAGAAATGGGATTAAACCAGCAATCAGGTCCAAATCCGCAGGAAATCTGTTGCTTTCCTTCTGCCACCCATTAGGCTGGCCAGCCCCTCTCTCCCTCTCCTGTCCCTCTGTTCATTTTTAAAAAATAAATAAATAACAGGGTCCCGGTGACCTGTCCCTGACCTTCGCATTGCCCCTGTGGTGCAGCCTCAAAGAAGTTTCTCATCCGCCTTCCTTCCTTCCTCCCGGTTGCCTGCCTTCTTCCACCCTCCCGGCACTTCCTAGAGGGATCTTGTGCCAAGGGATGGGTGAACACAATAGAATCTCTCTGCAACTTTGGAAAAGAGGGGGACTGGAGGGTCTGGGGTGGAGATTTGGGGGGGGGACCGAAGGAGGCAGGAGCACATCTCTCCTCCAAAAAAGGCCCCAGCTTTCTTCCCCTGCCTTTCACACCCGCCACCCCCCCGGGTTGGCTTTTGCCTAGAAAGGGGTCTCGGGGCTCCACTTACCAGTTTTCAGCTCACAGGGTGGAGATGCTGAGAGAGAGACACACAGCCACACTCTGCCTTTGTTGTCTGAGCTCCAAGCAAGAAATGCCTGCCAGTTTGCGCGGCTCTCCTCCGCGGTCCTAGAGCCTTCTAGCTCCACTGCACACACCCCCTTCTGCAAAGAAACCTTTCCTCGGTGGGTTCCACCCTCCTGACGGGCTGTCATTTGAAATTTCTCCTTCCCTGTATTTGGATTAGTTCCCCCCCCCCAAAAAAAAGAGGTTGGGTGGCATTGATCCAGATTTGATTTCCTTGCCGAGCCACAGAGGCAGCTGTAGAAATTATGCCTCGTAGGCAGGGTTTGCTTTCCTTTCTTTTTTTTCTCCTCCAGCGTGGCCCCATTGTCTCAGGATTTCGTTTCGGGGGCGAGTTAGAAACCGCTGACAATTGTTTTATGCCACGGGCATTACAGCGATGCAACAGAGGTGTGGGTCTTTTAAGTTGGAGGCCGGTGAAGAATCGCAGCTGCTTTGTGGACAAAAAGAAGGGCAGAAAGGTTGGGTAGGGGGAGAGGAGGTAAAAGCACAGAGCCCCGTGGGACGCTTGCCCACAGAACTGACCCCCAAACTCTAGAATGTTTTAAAAAATGTTGGGTTGAAAGAAATCCTATATGACTATTGCTTAGAGATGATGATGCTGGAGTGAAACAATGTCTGTCACTCATCTCCACATGTGTGTCCATGATTCTGAACTGTGCAATGCTCTATTTATATTAGATCTCTGCTCTGACATCATCACCACCACCACCACCACCAGCTTAGAATTATAGAACTGGAAGGGACCCTCAGGACCATCCAGTCCAGCCCCTGTCAAGGAGGCACCATGGGGGAATCGAACTCCCAACCACTAGCTTCGCAGTCAGAGAACTAAACCACTGGGCTATCCAACCATTCACATCTCAGGGGGACCACCACGGGAGCAATGGAAGCATGCTTGACTGTATTGTCAACCACCAGGCCTATGTTTAAGGGGAGGGTGGGCAAGAGGTGGCCCCTAATATGTTGTTGGAGTGCAAATCTCATCAAGCGGACAGTATGGTCGTATTGACCAGATAGGCGGGGTATAAAATAAATAAATAAATAAATAAATAAATAAATAAATAAATAAATAAACAAACAAACAAACAAATAAACAAATAAACAAATAAACAAATAAACAAATATCTGGAGGACCACGTTGCCTTCCCCTGGTTCTCTGCTAAGAGAGAGAGAGAGAGAGAGATGGATGATCTGTAAAATAAACAAAACTTCCCCAAGCAATCCAGAGTTTGATGGTTATGAATTTCATACCTGAGACCTGTCAGAGCCTCACTGTGATCGCTCGTCACCTCGCCTTCTGCCAGCTGAAATCCTGGAGCTGGTCCTCTAAGGCAATGCCCCCAACCTTGAGCCTCCAGACGTTCTTGGACTTCAACTCCCAGAAATCCTGGCCAGCAGAGGTGGTGGTGAAGGCTTCTGGGAGTTGTAGTCCAAGGACATCTGGAGGCCCAAGGTTGGGGACCACTGCTCTATGGTAACATCACCTTGGTTGCATCGCTCAGGGCAAAGAGGCTTTGTGAAGGCCATCAGGTTAATGCTTTCAGACACTGCCACTGATCAAGGCTCTGGGAAGTCATCCATTTCCCTCCCGTCCATAAATTCATTTAGATAAAAAAGTAAGTGAAATGTAGCTTCTGGATTTTGGTTACCTGACCTGTGTGAAGGAAATACACCATCCTCTAGGCAGTAAGTAGCAAAGCGTCTTTCCCGAAAAATGATAAAATCAAGCCAAAGATGGAACCAATGTCCTCCTTGCAGAGATTTAACTTGAAAAGGGGTGAGGGATTATCCTAAGGAGCCATCTGAGGAATCCCTGGTTCGAATCTAATTGCAGTCACGGTTCCCGGATAAAATTGAACCATGCCTTTAGATTTCTTTTGTTTTGCTTTTTGCACACGTTTCCCCATAAGAGAACAAGACAACTTTAGGAGCAGCGGTACCTATATTTAGATCAACAAAAAAAAAATCAAACATTCAGCACAAGCTTTCGTGAATGAATTCACTTCCTCAGGCGTGCATCGATATCTTGCAGAGTGTGCAGAAAAATGTTAAAGAAAGTCCCCAAATTGCCATGGCAGAAGTACTTCTTAAGGTGAGTTCAGGGCTGGTTTTAACCAGTTTGGGGTGTGTGTGTGCGTTTTTAAACACTTCACCCCAGTGTCATGTGGTTGGAATTTTCCACTCAGGCTCCAAGAAAGTCATGAATGTACCTCTCATTTCTATGGACCATCTTTAAAATCATATTTCTTTTTTAGCTGTTAGTGTAGAGAAGGCCACACAGAAACTTAGCCACCTCCATCCTAAAGCTGGGATGTATCCCAAAGCCAATCAAAACCGAATTAATTCCAAATTATTCTACTACCAGGGGAGTTTTGCAAACAGATGTTATCCTTAGTTGCAGCCCAGATCTCTTGATTATTTATTTATTTTTGTTTGTTTATCTGTTTTATAGGCCGCTGTTTGCCCGATAAGGTGGCTAAAGTCCACGAGTTCATGCAGCATTCATTTTGGATGGACAGTGTGATGGCACCACTCTTACTGAGCCTCCTCAAGGACTAGCAGACATGCTAGAAGACTTGGATGAGAGGCACAGGACAGGGTAAGTCCCCATCTGTGTGGTGTTATTTGGACATATGGACCAAGTCAGGGGCTAGAGCACAGCTGTAGGTATTTTACTGTGCCATCTGGGAGCCTAATATAGGATAAGGGGTGGCTGCTGAAGGGGATGTTCAGACCAGATCTGAGAGCCCTCGGGGGCAACCAGAAGGAGTAGTACCACGGACAGCTCCCAACAAGCACCCTATTGCAACAGAGGCTGGAGCTGAATGGAGACCTCCTGTAGTTCTACCTAAGTTGCCCTCTCTCAAAGCTCCACCTCTTCCCACCAAGTGGAATGCCTTAAAGAGAAAACCTCCTGGTTTGAAGCTGAAGGGCTGAAGCTCCTGGAGGATGGTGGTCCAGTGCCGGGGACCACATTTTGCTTCTCTGATCCACCCTTCTCAGATCCATGCCTCCTGTGCAATGAATGTTGGCCTGAGCAGAACGTTCTCAGTTCAGAGGAGCCGTCTTGTGTTTTGAGCACACAACGTACCTCTGTCTTGGACTGAGGTCTTGAGTGAGGTCACCGCAGCTTTGAGCTTCAGTAGTTTCCCCTTCACAGATTGCTGCCTTGTCGTGGCGAAGAGGAGTAACTCAGAGGAGATACGGGCTATGCCGTGCAGGGACACCCAAGACGGACAGGTCATAGTGGAGCGTTCCGACTAAACGCAATCCACCTGCAGTGCCACCCCAGTATCTTTGCCAAGAATGCCCCATGATCAGAAACAAAAGGCTAAAAGATATGACGCTGGAAGATGGGACCCTCAGGTTGGAAGGCGTCCAACGTACTACTAAGGAAGAGTGGAGCACAAGTAGCTCCAGAGCTAATGAAGTGATTGGGCCAAAGCTGAAAGGATGCTCAGCTATGGATGCGCCTGGAAGTGAAAGGAAAGTCTGATGCTGCAAAGAAAGATACTGCACAGGAACCTGGAATGTAAGATCTATGAACCTTGGGAAGCTGCTCTGATCCATGGGGTCACGAAGATTCGGACACGACTAAACGATTAAACGACGAAGAGTTTCCCTTATGGAAAATGGTGGTTTTGTGATAGATGGTGCCCATCATGGTGGCCAGTTTACAAATGAGCTACACTTCCCTTGCCACTGTGTATTGAACAGCGGCCTCACTCTGAGCCTCCCCCCCCCAGCACCCCAGTGGCTGAAGGATCCAGGAAAGATCTTGTGGTTCATTGGGTGATTCAGCTGTCACTCGTCTTTAGTGCCATAAGCTCAGTCTGTCACCTTCTATTTCTCTCTCTCTCTCGGTTCAAATGGTAGAAATGTCAAATGCAACGTGAAGGATTCGTTGTGATGTGGGGATCTGTTCCAAGCACCCCTGCAGATGCTGACAAACATGGATGTGCATAGCCTAGTCTCTGGTTCTCTCTAGTGGCCACTTCCAATAAAACACCTTGGAAACACATATTTCTGGGAGGTCGTGGTGTTATTTAAACTTTTCAGGGAGCAGATAACTGAAGCTGCGGATACTGATCCTGCTGATACAGTGGCCCTATTGGAGTTGCTTCAGAATCACGCAGATACTTCAAGTTTGGTCTAGTTTTTCATGCCAGTCTGAAGGCAGAGTACAACCCTCACCTTAGACCAGTGGTTCTTAACCTTTGTTACTTGGATGTTTTTGAACTGCAACTCCCAGAAACCCCAGCCAGCACAGCTGATGGTGAAGGCTTCTGGGAGTTGCAGTCCAAAACTCCTGAGTAACCCAAGGTTAAGAACCAGTGCCTTAGACTATCAAGAAAGACTGTGTCTCACCTAGAGTCTCTTACACAGATCCATGGCAGATTTTGCTCCTGTATTCGACCTTTCATCTGAAACTAGGAAACAGATGGATTGGTTGACTATACATATGACTTTGTAAGGCAAGCATCAGAAAAGAAAAACAGCTGTCCTTTACAGAAACTTGGAAATGTAAGGAATTAATTATAACACTGATGTAAACATTGTCTTATTTCAACACATTTGGAACCTCTAAGGGGCTACATTCAGTGAGCTTGGAAAACCACAGAAAGCCATAGGAGACATCTGTAAATACAAAAGAATGCATTACCTATGATAGTGGATCAAGACTATGGATTATTTGGGGGGAAAAGTCCATCTGAAATCTGAACCTCTGGATAGCTCAGTGGTTTAAGGTCACTGGCTGTGGAGCCAGAGGTTGGGAGTTCGATTCCCCCACTGTGCCTCCTTCACAAGGACTGTACTTGACACTCTATAGCAGTGGTGTCCAACCTTGGGCCTCCAGATGTTCTTGGACTACAGCTCCCAGAAGCCTTCACCACCACGTCTGCTGGCCAGGATTTCTGGGAGTTGAAGTCCAAGAACATCTGGAGGCCCAAGGTTGGGGACCACTGCTCTATAGGGTCCCTTCCAGCTGTGCAGTTCTAAG